GGAATAGAATAGGGCCAAGAACGCTACCCTGTATTACACCACTAGTTATCGGCTTTGATGAAGACAGCTGGTGGTTGATTTTGACTAATTGCTCTCTTTCTGTGAGAAAAGAATTTATCCATTTGAGAAGTGTCCCGGTTATTCCGTTGGATTGGAGTTTTGTTATGAGTCTGATATGTGGGACTTTATCGAAGGCCTTGCTAACGTCGAGAAATAATGTTGTTACCGTGAGTCTGTCGTGGTAAATAGCCTACAGGTAGGTGACCTTACCACTTTTCAAGCCATTTAACTGGCTTCCTAGATCCCTCGACTTTAATTCCCGAAAGCTCGTAGGAATTCGCTAATTTAGTTCCTTCTCACACATCTTGAATTCGTTTACGTGTATGTCCATTTTTACTACCCTAATTCAAAGAAATGGTTGTGAGTGACTGGAACCAAGCCCAGCAGATGATTACAATAAACTGAGGTGTTGTTTTCTTGTCAATTTTGTTAGGCCTTTCATCTAAGGAAATCTCCAAACTATCTTACACGGAGCAAACTCCTGTTATCCATTAGGTAGCGTTGAATATAACCCAACCCCAAAGTTTACTTAGCTGCGATCAAGTTTTTTCTTCGCCTTATAATAATCGCCTACATAATGACCACTAATGTAATTCCTCTCTCTGGCCGACAAGCAAGGAAGTTCAGAAGAATTAACGCTGTGTAACTGTGTGATGTTTTGGAAGAGTAAGATACAAAGTGATTACAGAGAAGAAAAAGGAGGAAATGTCTCACGCAAATAACTTAAAATGGGCAATTGCAAACAAGCAATGATAATGTTTTCTATTACTACATTATATTGTAATGTTATAATGCGAAACTTTTGAATTAATTCTTTTCGTACTACCGATTTATTATTCCTATTAAAAAACAGTGACTGAAGGTACTCAAATTATTTCTTGCCTATTCAAGTGCATTATGCCTAATTTAAGCCTGAATGAAGATAACGTGTATGTCTGATGTGGTGGGTGCAAGTATTCCTAAACTCTATAGTTATCTGCTATATCCTGCTCCAAAAATATGGTGGAGATGTGTGGATGACACTTTCATAGTGTTAGAAACGGAACATATCTGTAGCTTCTTCAAACCTGTAAACTTGCTAGTAAAGAGAATAAATATCACTTTTGAATCGGAAAATGAACAGGGATAATAAGCTATGGTGGACTGAAGAATAAAACGAATAGAAGAAGGTAAATTGCACACTAGTGTTTATAAAAGGCCAACGAATTCTAGGAGATGTTCAGATTTTAGTTCATCTCATCGGTTTTCTCTAAAGGCAGGCTTAGTTAAGTGTCCGACAAACTGAGGAACAGCACTAAGTAGTACAACAAGGAACCCAAATTATGCAATGAAACAGATAGAAGAAGCGTTGGTGTTTAATGTAAGGCACCTGCAGTTCTATCGCATAAGGAGCAGACATCTGAAACCCTACTTAGGATTCTTAATACATCAGGAATTAGAGTGACATCCAAACCTACAAACTCACTCAGAGACAAGCTCTGTAAACTAAAGGACCCTGTATGTTGAACCAATTATACAAAATAATATAATTTACAAAATGCCTTGCAATGACTGTGAGTTAAGTTAACTACATAGGTCAAACTAGTGGATCGGGGATAGTCAGATTGTCAGAACATAAGAATTTAGCTAAGGTTAGAATGGTTGATCTCACGAAGATAAGTAATTTAGAAGGAAGTTCAGCGGTTGCACTACATGCATTAACACACAACCACGTGACAGGGTGTGACAGGGCCGAAATTCTAAGAAGTAATATAAGTAAGTGGAGAGAGGTTGATTACAGAATCTTTGTTCATAGAATCTGAAACCAACAGGTGCAATAAGAATGACTCATCACTCATACAGGAATACCGGAAAGTATTACTTCTAATCAAATCAAGAGATCAAAAATAATGGAATTATATAAATGAAATTAGAAAGTTGTATGAATATGTGGTATTTTCTTTTTATTCCTTCTCGTTCCCAGTGGAACATAGGACTCCAAGCTGGAGGCTTGAAGTTTCTGTAGCAGTGTTTATTTTTACAGGATGGGTTTGCTAGCCTCATTCCCAACCTTTCCTCTTTATCAGCTTTATTTCTGGTTTAGCAAGGCAAAGGAGTGCGTCTGCCGGGGGTCGAACCCCGGACCATGTGCATGGTCGGCGAGCGTCCTAACCACTGTACCACCGACGCAATAAACTGTGCTGGAAACATCATCAATAAATATCACTGTTTAACACTGTGAGACTTCATCAAAATAAATTTTCTCCATAATGGAATTATACTTTACCTCAATGCCCAAGTTCTTTTATTATACCTGCACCCTTATGCCGAGAATCATTTCTATGCTCCTTAGTTTGGGCAATTCAGTGGATTCACATGTACCATTCGCCGTCGCAATTGTTATGTATGGCTTTTTAGAAAAACGGTGCCTTCAGTAAACACCAGTGTAGATTATTGATTCGTTTTATGTAATGCATTAACACGGAGGCAAAATAGAGGTCTCTAACAACTTCCCTAGATTATTCCGCCACAAGATTGTGTTAAGTGAGGATTGTTCGGACAACGACGTGCTTTTTCCTCTCTAACCGGAAAATACCTATTTTGTGAATTATCCGCTTGGGTAACCTGATCTTCCTAGCCGGTGAATTAAATTCAACCATTACTTACATATTGAATCTCTGTGTGGTAAGTCCAGCTGTCTCCAACTACTGCCAAAGCTTCAGGTACTATATTTGTAGCAGCATCTGCCTCACTCCTTCAGATAAACAAGACTTGTTGGTATACCACGTGATTGCTGTGAAGCCGATCATCCAGAAAGTACTAGGTAAAGTCGAAAACCTTTTCTTTTCCTTGCCTTGTACTTTATCAGTCTTATTCTTGTTCTTGTGGGTAGATACTGTTGCACTCTTATTATTATACAGCATAATTTTTAGCGATAGTTAATATGGCTGTAGAAAGTAACCTTAGAAATGGCACCAAAACACCATACTCTGTAGTCACAAGGGCTTCAGCCAGAGAAGGCAAAAACCCAAGGACACCAACCACAAAATAAGCCAGGTAGGTTTAGGCAAACCACTTCTGTCATGGTTGAAGGACTACCTAACTGAAAGGCAATTTTGTACCAAGGTCAATCGAGTCCGATCATCTTGGCACAGCTCGTCATCAGGAGTGTCGCAGGGTTCTATCCTGGGACCACTGATGTTCTTGATTTTTATCAATGATTTACCATGCCGTCTAAGCTGCCCGACTCTTCTGTACGCTGATGACGTGAAGATATGGAGGGCGATAAAGTGTCCGGAGGACTCAGATAGAATGCAGGCAGATCTAAGGCTTCTGGAAGACTGGGCGGTAGCCAGTGGCATGACTTTCAACCTGAAAAAGTGCAAAGTAGTGAAGTTACGCACCTGTAGACTGCAGAATGCAAGTTACACCCTGTGCAATGAAAGCTTGTCCTGCTCAACGTCGGAACGTGACTTAGGTCTAGTTCTAACGGAGAAAATGGACACAAGCGTAAATTACACGGGGTATGTAGCGAGGGCATATGCGGTCATACACTTTACATATAGACAATTAGGTGCACTCGCTCCTGAGCTCTTTCTAAGGTTGTATAAAACATACGTCAGACCGCATCTTGAAGTGCATAATATCATTGCACCCCCCCTGCTTAAAAGAGACGCCAACCTCTTGGAAAGAGTCCAGCGACGGGCAACAAAAGGAGTGGTTGGTCTCCAAAATAAACCATATGATGAAAGGCTGAAGAAATTAGGTCTATTCACACTCAGTTACCGTCGTCTGAGGGGGGATTTAATTACTGCCTACAAAATAACAAATGATCAGAATCACCCAAACAAAGGTGTTCTGCCATTGAGTAGGTATAGGCTCCCTCGTGGAAATCCTAGAAGGATAGCTCATCAGAGGGCAAGGACCCGGGTGCGCTCACACTTCTTTTCCCTGCGGGTTTGCCGTCCCTGGAATTCCTTACCGGCAGATGTAGCTATGGCACCATCTGTGGACGCCTTTAAACGAAGGCTGGACAACCATGCAGCGACACAAGGACTTCATCCAAATGGCCCTTAAAATCGCATACATTATTCAAAGGTAGACAATTAAACTGGTCGTTTTACTTCTTTCCATTCTCTTCAGTCTTACTCTCCTGACAGCTTTAACTACACCTATTATTATTATTATCATTATTACTGGTATATATATATACCGGTTGACTGACTGTTGTTACGTTTTCTTATTCTTTTTCTGTCTGTTAGTCTGAATACCTTCACTAATTATATCTATTATTATTATTATCTCTTTTCTATTGACGACGATACCGAAGGACCAACTGGTGAAAGGATCAACTCCATTCACAGTAGTAACAGTCTTAACACCTCATACTACAAACCACATATAATTAATCCCTGCACTACTCCTTTTGGAGTCAACCAAAGCTACGACAGTCGAGTGGCGGGACGAGCTACGCAGACGTTTACCGAAGATCAGGAACCTCTACCTCACAATCAAGAGGCGAGCACAAAGAAATCAAATTGGTTTATACTAGCTTGTAAAAACGATATTGGATATTGGAAGGTAAGTGTATCAAAAATACACACTTACAAGTCTTCCTTCATCACATTTCCATACTTTTCGCTAATTTGGTTCCTTTTGTAGTAGGATGCGTATATCCCTCATGTGTTTTCAGAAACTCAACAACCTACTTTTCGTCGTTAATGCCTCCGTGTAGTGGTCGAAAATGTCCCAACCTTTAATGATCTTATGTTTTACGACATATCAGACATATTCAACAGAATAACACCAAAAATTCAATTGCCCACTACAAATATCAGAGAAACTACAGCCAATTGAAGCCTAAGACCATTCATTAACTATAGAATGAAATGTTGAGCGAATACGTCGGCTGAAGTCAGCTAAGTAGTGAGATACATCATTTTGCGCAATCTGTTGACCTTCAAGTGTGCGCGTCATATTCGATTGGGGTAAATATCTTTAAGTTTTGATATAATTGTATATCTTACTCTTATGTTGTACATACGCGCCAGTTTAGTGTAGAAAACTGGGTTCACTAAGTATTTTGTATGTAATGACATAACATATACATAGGTCTATATATAGGTGTTAGTTTCCCACCTTAGCAATCACGTTATTATTGGTCTTTACTAATCTTTAATCTGAGATTTGTGAATTTCCGATGGATCCTTGACCCATAATTATGGCGAAGTTCTACAATAGAGTCCCAAGGAACGAACGCACAAGTGACCTTGAACCGACTAATGAGAAAAAAGGATGATTTCTGCATAAAATTTTACGTATTTTTACAGAAATAAGCATGAAAAAAATCAAACAGGGTACTCTTCTCTAATATGAGATAAAAAAATGTTCCAATTATTAAGAGGAGTTTCAGTTTTTAAATTAAACCAATTTCTATACATGTCTTCATTCAAATGACTGAAAATAACTTCGTTTTGTGATCCGTTGGTAGCTCATATTCTATTTTCAGTCTTCCCCAGAAACCTTCGATGGAATTATTATGAGTATACAGGTCGACGGAATCATCGATTTCCTCTATGATGATCCATGTCTGCCAGTAATTGACAGAACAAGATATTCAAATATATAAACTCATCACTTCAAGAAAGTTCTAGAAACATAATTCAGTGTTTACCAATATGCACAATTATTCGCGCTAGATGGTGAGCTTCTCAACCAATGACTAGCATGCGTTCAGGTCATCGGAACATTCACAAGTCATTGCTACTGACTTTAATCGCCATAATTATGTCCTCTGGATTCAGCACTGAAACGTGGTTTAAATGGTTTCAGTGGATGTACTTCGACAAATCACTAATTTTTCAGTCACAATTGACGACGAATTATGCCTTTTTTTTATCTCACTCATGGGTAGTTAATTTAGTTGAATTGAATTTCATACTTAATAACAAGTTTATTTTTTATGTATAAAATATAGCACCTTTTAAATAAGAAACTATTGTATACAAGGTTTGGTGAATGTACTAAGTAAAATTTCCTGTATGTACATACGCTTGTCAGTAAATGAATTCGTTGCGTACACTCAGCTGCTTTGCTTATGTTGTAGCTACAGTGCGAGTGGGTTTTACATGTATGTGAGACACATTGACTGAATGTTCGTCAAATAATGCTTTTATTCAATAAAGCTTCAGCGTTCTCTGGTGAAATATGTCACTCCTGTATTTCATCATAAGACAAGCATCTTCATATTTTAAATTATATCAAGAATACTGGGCATAGTGAGCATCTGTAGCAAAGGTCCTTGGTATTATTATTGTAGAGGTCGGCTCACTATAATCTTCACAAAAATTATTTGCCATCTAATGATATTTCCGAATAAAAAACAACCAAAAGCTTTTGGACAAGCCAGATCAAATATCTGCAGGTGTTAAGATTATGTGCCCTGTAGTCTGAAAAAGAGTGAAGGTCTGTTGGGTCTATCAAAAACTGATTGATTCTCTTGAGTTAATATCAGAAAATTTTAGTGATCTGATTTCTAGTTTCTACAAATTAGTACCCTAACGTGTTTTGATTCATCATATTCTACTCCTGTATGCTGTCTGAGTAGCCTTATTTTCTGATGTTTACCACTGAGCTTTCAATTCATCTTTTGTGTTTCTGATATAAATCGTTTCTTGGTGGCACTCTTGCACTTACACTTTCAGAATCAAGTGATCTGCTTAATAGTTCTTAAACTTCATGTTATAAGCCGTTTAACTAATTAGAAGCATTAATTTATTTGGTTTATTCAATTTACTTAATTGAGCTATTTATCTGTTGTTGCGCTGTTTGTTAGCACTGAAAAAATCAACGCTTTTGTCGCGTACATAAACATTTCTATCGACAAAGCATCATCTTATAATAGTTTGAAGCATTCTGTTTATCACACTTCCAAAATTATGGAAAGCAACTTAAATTATGCCAATCGACTCTCTGTTTACTTGAATGCTGATTATTTATTAAAACTGGAGCTTCCATAAACTGCTGAGTTTTATTTATTTCTATATAAATGCTTAACCTTAATTTTCGTTTGAAAATACCCCTGTTTTAATGGGCAGGTTGAATATTTCAGTTTGGTCGTACTAGTTACCTTCATTGTGGACTCATTTTTTGGTAATGTCGAAAGGAATTGTATTGCATGGCCGACAAATTGCTCAAGGTATGACATTACCTTCTTATTAACATTTGGTGATTCCTTTAGCTATCGGCCAAAAAATTAGATCAGATGTTGCTCATTTAAAGGCAGATTTCGGTATCGCTCCCAAGTTAGTTGTCATTGAAGTAAGTGTTCTCTGCTTACATTTTTACTATTACATTGACCTGTTTTAACCGCACTAAACACTTTGTGAAATAGCAGGTAGTCCTAAAGGTTAACCATATACTGGACTGTATTATTTTCCATGAAATAAATATTACCGGCAAGTGCGATATCTGGTTGTCAATCAAAAGACCTGTATAAAGCACGGCAGTTTACTTCACCCTCTTTTTACAATTGTGAGACATGGCCGTTAAAAGTTGGGGATATAAGGAGCCTAGCTGTCATTGAACATAGGTGTTTACGTTCTATCTCCTGTGTTAAGTGGTATAATATGGTGAGTAATACTAGGGTTGGGCATAGAGTGTTAGGTAAGGAGGGGAAGTCAATCGATGAGGTTGTGATGCCCCATCGAACAAGATAGCTACAACACATGTTACACATACCAAGACTCTTCCTTGTTGAGCAGTGTTAGCCGACATATAATTAGGTTAGAAAGGGGTTAGCGGTGGTCAAATAGAAAAAACATGGAGGTAATTCATGAAGTTGTATCTTAATATAATCTCACGGGATAAATGTTCATGAAATAAATGTTGTTTTTTGACTTCAGGATTGTGTATACATGTTATCGATTTCTATCTTAAGTAACTTAAATTATGTTATAGGTGTTTAACTGCTAGCTGAGTGTATATTTTCACTGTGTTACGAAAAAGGGAGGACACTATCTACATTTTCTTGTGTCATAATTATGAATCTCATCAGTATGCTTTAGCAAGATAGAATAATGTAAAATGTCTTACAATGGTGTCACTTGAACTGAATCGACAAAACTGAAAGAAGTGAACAGAAATATGTATAGATAAATAAAAAGTGTACTGCTAGATAGCTTAGTCAACGTGTTACTGAATATCTGCTATCGTGGTGGTTTGGAAAGAATAGACAAAAACAATCCGTAGCTCCATTTAGTTGATAGTATTCATGCAGTGGAGAAAACGAAGGCTTTCAAGGTAATTCATCACAACCGACCGAATCTTTCCAGGATTCGTCTGCTGCACACAGCTGAGGCGGTAGGCATTCGAACTATTAAACCTAAACTATGCATTCAAAAGAAGTTCGTACGGCCATTATTCCCCCTTGACCTATAAAGACCTAACCAACTGATGACTTCTACACCACCCCTAACTTATATTTTCAACCCCTCTCCTATCATTCCTTAATTTTATCACACCTTCATTAAAACATAGATCATATACATCACTCACAGTCTAGCTTTCTTTATCGACTACTACATCTACTTGAACATTTGTTCGTTTAATCACGCTGTTTTTCGTTATTCTAGTTATCACAGATCACCTGACTTTTTCACCCTTACTAGTGAATAAAACCATTACCATTATTATGACTAATTGCACAATTTATATCTAATTATTATTTTTCATTTTATTCCTTTACATTCCCTGTAGAACATAGGGCTTCTAGGTAGAGCTTTGAAGCTTCAGTAACAGTGGTATTTATTTTTACGGGATGGGGTAGCTAGCCTCATAACCAACCTTCCCATCTACATCTTTTACTAGCTTGGTGAGGTAAAGGAGTATGTCGACCGGGAATCAAACCCCCGATCACATGAGGCGTAGTTGGCGAGCATTCTACCTCTGTGCCACCGACGCACGCACAATTTATATGCACAATCTTATTATCCTATAGACAAAACACCGTGATTTGTTTATATTCGGATTTTTGTTTGTAAAGTTATGTATATTAGAGTTAGGCCTGATGAGATCTAATTGAAAACAATATTGTTCGCTTAAATGTATTGTTTTTAAAATTTTACTATGGGAATATTCAGTATTTTGAAAAAGTAGTATATGAGGAAAAAGTATTGTTGGTGTTTTGAAGTTTGAACCTTAAAGACAATCACAATTCTGCTTGATACTGTAGATATCCTCATTTTTACATCCTTAAGTGGGGCGGTTATTTGCTTCCTAAACTTCATCTAAACCTATTGGAAAGAGTGTTATTATTATTATTATCACCCCTTTACGTAATTTAACGCCTAGAGTTCGTAGTAAATAAAACTTGGTGGCTAATGATATCTGTAATACTCTGATGCTACTCCTAGAGTCAAATATGTCTTCGTTGTCTAGTGGAGTTAATCATTAGTTGGCACTCTTTTTCAAATTTTATACATTTCTGGCAACTCTTAATTCCTGTTTCATATTTATCATGGTTCTCATTACTGCTATTAATTCTGAAGTTACACAGAATACACTCATTTTAATTCTCATAAGTTATGCCAAATATTTTCAAAAATATTTTTGCTGTGCTTTGAAATTTCTGTAGCGGTTGGGCTGATTTTCCGCGGTGGGTGGTCGCTAGTCCCCACCTAACTTCCCCTCTTTTTCCGGGCTTAGGATCGGCTAGTAAACTAGGCGGGCAGACATTCAGCAGCAGCTACCTCCTCTGGATTCCGAAGATCGGGTGGCTAGGAAAGATAAACACCTGTGACCTATGAGAGTGAACCAACGAAAAACGTATTGCCCAGCAACTGTGCCGAAAATATAGAGATGGATTGGACACATGCTGAGAAAGCCGTTGAGTGACATCACGTACCAGGCCCTCAAACGGAACCTGGATGGGAAACGGCAAGTGGGGCGTCCGAGGGTGACGTGGGTGAGACGAGCACTTTTATGAGCAATCGTGAAGCTAGCTTAAGAGAACTGCATGGAACAGGATTAAGTGGAGATGTGCTTCTGAAGCCCTGCATCCCACACGGAAACAAAGGGAAAAATAATAATAATAATACTAACATTGTTAAACATTTACATCACACCTTCCAACAGTAGTACTTTACAGTGCTAACCTTTGCTTACTAGAATAAATAAAAACGTCAAGAAAATAATGGATAAAAATTTAAACGTAATTTTTATGGTTGATTATGTTTCAGGATGATTGTCAAGTCATATTTAGAAAACCACTTGCATTAATAAAGCAGGGTTAACGTGATGTGTCAAAATACTCTGATAACCCAGGATAAACTCATTGTTCGTTAGCAAAAGGTTCAGCTGTTGTTTGTTGAAGGTGCCTTTTGTCGCATGAATCCGCTTTGAACAGTAACTGATGAAAGAGAATGCAAATGTGACCATGAAATATTACTGCGTGAGTTGCAGTCACTTAGCCTAAAGTAATTTCCCCGTAGTATACGTACGGACTACTAGTTTAATCTTCCGAAACTGACAGTACACTTGGCTGATCAATTTTTCTAATATTTACGTTACTTCGTTTAAAATCGGTTACTGAGAAGTAAGACTTAAGCTAAATTTCAAATAGAACTAATGATTATTCATGGGTAGTGTTTATACGTTGACAAAGTAATGCAAAATATCAAATACTGACACTTACGTATTCATCGCATCATTATTTATCTTGGACCATAGAAGTCAAATAGCATGCAGATACATTATCTTTTGATTGGCAATGTAAATATGTCCAAAGCACCTGTCTAATGGTCTCTGATTCTATTTCGTCAGCATTGTAAGTCAGTCAATATTACTCCTAGAAATATGTTATAAGCTGCTATTGAAGAGGTTTTTATTCAGATGAAATACCACTTTTATTAATTTGAGCAGGTATTAATTCTTGTCGTTGCTACAAAAGAATAAGTACATAAATATATTACCTTGACAAGATAAGTTCATTGTAGGATATCTAATATAGTAGCATTTTATAGTGGTTTTTCTAAGCTTGAATTCTGATATCTCTAATTACAAATGAAAATATTTTAGCAGAGAAAGAACAAACATTAATGCAGAATAATATGGATCCATTTTATTTCGTTGGTTCTCATCAGCTTCATACACCCTATAATCTTTAATAAATAAAAGTCAGCGTAGAATTTAACATACTTTTGTCATTGACAAGCATATTATAAGAGTGTCATTGTTTTTATTCCTCTATGTTCCCAGTGAAACATTGGGCTTCAGGATAGGGCTTTGAAGTTTCAGTAGCAGTGGTGTTTTTTTCTCTACGGGATGGGGTTGCTAGCCTCATGACCAACCTTCTCCCTTTGCCAGTCTTATTGCTGGCTTAGCCAGGTAAAGGATCGAACGACCTATGTGGTTGGCGGGCATTCTACCGCTGTGCCACCACCGAGTGTGTCAAGGTGAGGTAAAACGTCAGGATGACAAGGTAGCTGAAGTTTAAGTATATATATATTGTTAGAGAGAAGTTTCTAAAAAATTAATTGGCAGTTTTAGGGTGCGATCATCAGACACATAACACAAGTGATCGATAACTATATGTTATTATGTCTAGTTACTTTTGTTTTCACCTTTATCATCGAATTTGAACTCACTCTATATATGTGATAATAATTCTCAAGCCATGTTAAGAACTAAATGACTTGTGACTATTGTATGATATTGTATGACTTAAAATTGTTCTCGATAGCTAAGATGTATTCATTCTTTGTAATCTCAAAGACGTGCATCGGTCGGTCGGTTTTCGACATAGAACTTTGCACATATGTGAGGAAGTTCAAGTCGCCACACTCCATGTAGCACACAAAGTAAGAGAAGAAAGTGGGAGAAATGCATAATATAGACAGTAAACAGAGGTGTGAGACAAAGGAATAGTAATAACGAAGAACAATATAGTTTCATTGGAAATCATGAGTCACAAGGAGTGGATGCATCTGCGCCATCACTGAGAACGATTTTGAGCCATGTTACCAATTGTTTCCAACCATTGGTTTTTACCGTCCCGAGGACCCCAGTTAGGAAGTCCACACCTTTCTACATGCATCGGTGGCACAGCGGTGGAATACTTGCGAACCACATATGTGCTCCGGGGTTGGATCCCCGGTCGAAGCACTCCTTTACCTCGCTAAGCCAGTAATGCTGCGACAGAAACTTCAAGCCTCTTCTAGCTTGAAGTCCTATGTTCCACACTGGGAACGTAAAGGAATATACAAAAAAGTCTCAAAGATGCATTAAGCCCCCTTGTTTTTTATTTCATGTTACTATTCCTTCTCTGCGTACATTTCTGCTCGTTACGGTTTTTTAAAATTTTATTTCTTTTCTCTGCCTTTGTGTGTACTACATCGCAACCTCAACTGTTGCACTTCTGTGCTAACATTCTGTGTTGAATCTGAGTCAGTTAATTTGACAGTAGCTCTGAAAGCACCTATTTACCTTAAGCTGTTAACATTGATAGTTGGCTCTTATTTTTACCGAATATTGGAATTCAAAATTTTCTTTTATTCACTTGTTTCTTTTTTCTTTAAAAAAAACACATTTAGATTGGTGATTTACCACAGTCAAAATTGTACATTGAACAAAAGTATAAATTCGCTAGCAAATATGATATAATTCTATCGCATATGCAATTTCCATCACATGTATCTGAGTCAAAGGTAAAATTGACACACATATACACACAAAAAGTGAATGATTTGTACTCAAGATTTTAGATTATATCAACAAGCTGAATACTGATTCATCCGTCCATGGTATTACTTTACAAGTGAGTTCAGTGTTTATTGTAATATTCATTTTCTTAGTTTTATATTTTCTGGTGGCATGTTTAATATTATCACAGATATTTTGAACACGTGTTTATATATATATATATATGTCTCCGGGCGGTCTAAACCCTTCCCCTATGTGACTCAAATCAACTTCATAGACTGATGCCGGATATTGCTTTCACTAATCCGAACTTTTTTCAACCCAACTTTATGTCAGTTAACACTGTTTGTCGAGGAAGGCGGTGGCTTGGCATGCGCAACACGTGTTTCAGCCATCTCAGTCGGTATAGCTTCACAACTTCACCGATTGACTGACCCTTTTTGCCAAGCACTGTACGCCTAACCTTATTGTTGTATACCATGTTCTAATTTTTATCACAAGAGATAGAATGCAAATATTTGTGGTCAAAGGCAGCTAGTCTTTTCATATCTTCCACTGTCAGTGGCCATGTCTCACAGCCATAAAGGCGGACAGAGCGATCAATAGCCGGATACGACATCTACGCTGGAGATAACGTCAGTTGGTTATATGCCACATGAGTCTCTTTTTTATCAGTGCTGAGATTTCGTCAGCAATCTGCCCTGTCGTTAAGTTCAGTTCTGCTGCATCACCTTACGTTTGTCAGGAGCGCATTGCATGTTAAACATTCGAAGATAACGTGTTCAGAAGACTCTGCATTTCGTTAGCGTTCTCTTCACTTAGGAGGAGAAAAAGATATCCGCATACTTTAAGTCGATTGAGGTATCCCCTCGTAGCTATTCATTCAGCTGTTTATTCAACTTATGTGGCTGAAGGAGATTGAAAGAAAGTTCTCCACAGAAAATAATACACAAGTATGATTTCTAACTACTCATGTGAACTAGTAAGTAGTATATTACTATTATGCAAAAGATTATAGATAAGCGATGGCGGATTTAATCCGTAGTGATGAGTAGATAAAGAGTAAAAACTACACGAAGTGCGGTTTAAGTTGTTAACAGGAATTCCGGCGGTACAGTTACGAGCTAGTGTGAAACTTGCTTTCTTCTAAAGGTACGATACTATGAAAATTAGACACAAAAATGCTTCCTCTTAAAAGTTCAAATATTAAGTGGTGTTTAAAAGTATTGTTGAACCCAATTAGTCCACTAGTTTCTTATCGCGTGTTATTGTTTGCCTTGCTTGTGCACTGGAATTTAATGTCATTTTCAGTAACATTAAAGCTCTTGGTTGGGCATGAGGCTAGCAGTCCATCCGGTAAAAGTAAACATCACTGCTTCAAGCCTCTGAGTAACATTGACCATAAATAAAATTATCTTAATTCGCCTTAGTTAAGTCCACCCTGACTGGCGTTTGACATATTTTCTGGCATATTGTACTATCTTGCTGGTCTGCAACTAAGAGAAGTAAAGCATGTCTAATTGGAAACACGTTTTAATTGTTTCCCTCGTTTAGGCGCATCAGGCAATAACGATATCCACCGCCTATCTTAGACATGTAAACAAACCATTAGTGATACGAATTACACTTTCAGATCATATATTCTATTCCACAAGCTTGAAGTGTTTCTCCAAACTACCTGGTAAGGCTGAGGGTGGTCAGACGTCGGTCTTCCTCACGAAATCCACATTTGGTCACGTGTTCATAGCCTCTACGAGGTAATACCAGTTCAGTGTTCTTCAAAAAAGTGAAAGGGCAAATTCAAACGTCTGGTACTTACAACCGGCCTAGTGGACATCCAGGTCTACTTGAAGGAGCTGCAAACCTTGATTCCGAAATTCTAGTGTACAAGGCCTCCAGAATCCGAACGGATCGAATGGCGTATGAACATGTTTTGGTCACCCTCAACATTAGGAACTCAGCTACTGACGCTTCTCCACTGCCTCATGGACCAGACTTCAAGTCAAAGGCTTGGGGCGTGGCTCCTTAAGGTAACTATCTGCTCCAGTAAGGGCGACTGGGTAGTATCCCAGCAGTCGCACAAACTGTGAGATTTTGTGTAGTGCATCTTTTGGTGCCCATAATATACCACGTTTTTAGTTTAATAATAATAAATAATAGCGAACTTAAAGGTGCTCTAGATGATCACAACTACTATTATTATTATTATTATCAGGTTTCTTTTCTGTATGTAAAGTGGTTAATAACATAAATAATAGTAGCCTCAATACAATGTATCTAGTTGTACTGTACCAAATGCGGAAAATTCCACATTGTAACATTACTACTGTTTTGGAATAAAGCACATTATTATTATTGTAAAGTCTGATTAAAGTTTTGATTTGATTTTTGTCTGCAATTATAGTTACCTTTTGATTCATTTATGAATATCAATGTTTCCAATTCGTTGAATGCAGTTGTTACTCACAAAGATGTTGAAGGGTATGTTCAATATGTTGTCTATATTCTGTGTATGCCTTAATTGACTGATAACTGGTCTTTTATTCTCATTTGAATGAATATCTTGACACTTTAATCGTTTAGTGTTTGAAGAGGGTATACTGTATAGGCTTTATCATATTGGATAAGTTTATTCAACATTACACATAGTGATTGTGTGTGCGTACACATTTCTCTACCGTAATGTTAATTATGAGTGGTTGCGGCAAAAGTGGAAAACCTCGCGCCAAGGCTAAAACCTGATCAGTTTGCGCTGATGTCCACTTTCCAGTTGGTCGTGTCCATCGTCTCTTGCACAGGAGAAACTGCGTTTATGCTTTAGTCTACTTAGCAGTTATCCTCAAATATCTGGCGACTGAAGTGCTCGAATTAGTCGGTAATGTTTCTGACTGACTGTTTTCAACATAAAATTCTGCACCGATGTGCCACAGTTCAAGTCGCTACACCCCATGTAGCACACAAAACAAGAGAAGAAAGTAAAAAGAAATGCAAAATAGAGACAAAAAACAGAGATATGGGACAAAAAGAACAATAGTATCGAAGAATAATATAGTTTCATTGGAAATTATAAGTCACAAGGAGTGGATGCATCTCGCCAGCCATTGAGAACAATGAGTTTGAGCCCGTATCATCAGTTGTCTCCAGCCTTCATTGGTGTTTACCGTCCTTAGGACCCCAACCAGTGAGGAAGTCTACACCTTCCTACGTGGCTGGCTGGCTTAAACTAACTGTTGTGGATTTCATTGACTGATGAAGCCACGTTTGGTTCGACCACCACTAGCTTTCTTTTTTCCAACCTCACGCTATGTCAGCTAACATTGCCCGTCGAGGAAGGCGTTGGCTAGGAATGCACGCGTAACACATGTCCTAACCATCTCAATTGATGCAGCTGCTTCACAACCTCGTCGATTGATTTCCCCTCCTTACCTAGCACTCGACGCCTAACCTCAATATTGCTTACCTTATTATACCGTTTCACACGGGAGATAGAACGCAGGCACCTATGATCAAAGATAGCTTGCCTTTTCATATCCTTCACTTTCGATGGCCAGGTCTCACAACCATAAGGGAGGATGGAGCGGACTGCTGAGCAGTACACCCGATAGCCGGATATCACGTCTACTCCAGAGACGGCGTAAACTGGCATATGCGGAACTAGCCCTCTGCATCAGTGCTGAGATTTCGTCAGAGATCAACCCATTGAGGCTGATGCAATTTCCCAAATAAGTGAAGCGTTCAACGTGCTCTACCACTTCACTCCCCATTTCTGGTGACAACAAGAAGACCGGTATCATCTGTGGTCACTTGCAGTTGGCCATCTGCAACGATAAGGAGTTTGAACTAACTGTTCAGTAGTGTAACCATCACTCAGGGTATATATATATGTATATATATGTATATTCATTTTTTTCAATTTGACTAATCATCAAATCCTCCTATTATAAGTTTGCTTTTGGTGTTTGGTTTGATTCGAAGGATATTACTTCTTATCTGTTGTGTTCTTGAGTACTTTCAAAGTAATTAGTTGTGGTTTTAATCACTGAATAAGTTAGTAATGTGACTTACGCATTGAATTGAGTAGCTTTTCATCAAATGCTTTAAGTTGTTTCTCGTCAGTCTTTGTGCTCCACTTGCCTTGTGTAACTGTTTGGCATGTTTAATCTCTGAAAGACTAACTTGAATTACTCGTATATTTTAAGACATTTTACTGAATTAGGATTTCTTATTTTTGCACCCTTTTTTCGTCCTCCAGTGCTTCGCTTAACGCTAATGTCATAGTGATTTCCCTGATATTGTAGATTTTCTGTTTACTGTTGGGAGAGTCTTGTTGTTCATTAAATTGTGCATTTCAAGGCATAGCAGGTAGCTAGGCTGAAATCGATTACAAAATATTGTAAAATGGGAGACAATGGTGGTGGTGATTAGTCATAATAGATTTGTAGTGTGGGTTAGGAAAACTGACAAGTCAGTTCAAGATTATAAAAGGTGTCAGGTGAGTGGCTAGTACAAAGTGGTTTGTGTTAAACAGGAGATAGTAAGACTGCAATGAGAGGTTCATAATGAAATAACGAATACGTGAATTGAAATAGGTGGAGGCATATATTGAGAAAAGAGATAATATTACTAATAATAAGTCCGGATAGTATAAATAGAAAATTCCATAGTATTGAGAGAATATTTGCATGAAGGATATAAATTATGAATAATAATGATTGTTATAATAAGCAAAGAAAAAGCAGTCAACAGGGTTAAGGGGAAGAGGCACTCTTGGTGAGAAGAAAAATCACTAATTCAAGTTTGGCTGCAGTAGGAACAACGTCTGGACGTGTTCTTTTTGGATACAAAGTTCGGGTTTAGTCGATCTTATTGCAACAGCTTCAGCTATGTGTGGGGGACGCAAGCGAACAGTACGTGATAACGACTTCGGAATTCGGTATATAACCCTGAAAGCTGTGTTGACATCGATACGATGTCCAGTATCGATCAGGTGTGACAGGATCGAGTTTTTTATGCACTTAATTTCCCCCCTTGCTGAATCAAGTTGGTAAATGTTCTCGAACCCGTAGACGAACCTGCCTAATCGTGCGCCCTATATAACTTGAACCACAGGAACAGTTTAAGTGATATACGCATGAAGAAGAGCTAATCTTAGGTAAGACATCTTGGAGTTGCTGGGCGAACATTGGACGGCTACTGAAGGATAGACACAGACGTGCAGAGTAGAAAGTTTTCTTGATCGCCCTGGTTAAACGTTGCGATAGAATCTCCGCAGGATTATCTCCCTTGAATTGGAGACGTAAAAACAGAGGCTTTTTCTCCACCGTTGCCAGTTCATGTTTACGACTACTGTAACCTATGCTGGCTTTAATGAACTTCTCTGGATATCCGTTCTCGCTTAGAATGCCTCGGATGACCTGGAGTTCTTTCTCTGCACAGTCTTCGGAACAAATAGACCTCGCTCTAAATGCTAAGCACCTGATCAGATTACGTTTGTATTTCATCGGTACAAAGCTAAGGAAGTGTGGATACTGAGCTTTGATCTCTAGCTTTCTAAATATGGTTCTTTTGACGGAGCCATCCTCTCTTCTCGTTAGTAGGACGTCGAGGAAGTGTAGAGAGTCGTTGTATTCTCCTTCATAGGTGAAATGGACCGCTGGGCGAGCATTATTTTGACACCCCATAACTAATCTGTTGACAGTATTCCCAATAAAATCACCGCTTTTTCCTTACGATTTCGGTTGTAAAGTGACTTTTAATATTTAGTCTGGATGTTAAGAAGAATGTTTATATATATTTTCTTTCGAATAATCGGTTCAAATCACTTGTGTTCTTCTGCAGTAACCAGTTATCTAAGTTTGAAGGCATCCGAGCGAAATTACTGAATCGTTTGGAACAAGAACCAACGTTACTACTAAAATGATATTTCTACCTGATATTAACAACTTAGTAGAGCTTCAATGTGACCTACCTCTTATGTCCAACATTCCAGTTACCCACGTTATACTAAAAGAGACACAAAGAAGACTCCCCCATCAGCGTATTGCCATTGTGTCGACGATTAACATTCAATATGAATTGTGTGAATAAAAGTCGTAACTGACTTTTGGAATCAAGATAACGCATTATTTTTCACCAGACGATGGATACATTTTTATTCATATATCAGGAATAATTGAACACCTGGTTGATATTCTGATTGTCTTAACCTCTCTTGTGTTGATGCTGATAATATAATCCAGAGAATAGAAGAAAAAGTAGATTTTCTTCTTTCTTAGGAATGTCTCTCGCTAACCAACCACAATTTATTATTTTATTCCATTGAGTTCCCGCTGTGGAACATAGAGCTTCAAGCCTGAACTTTGAAGTTTCAGTAGCGTTGATGTTTTCGCTCTCTACGGGATGGGGTTACTAGCCTCATGTTCCTAGCTTCCCTTTTAACCGTGGTTACTAAGCGGGATTTAGGAGTGTGTCGGTTGGGTATCGAACTCTGGACCATTTACTTGGTTGGCCACTGTCCTATCACTGAACCACCGACGTACTCAACTTTAATATTGAGTTCTTACTTATTGTTGTCACAGTTGTTCATCTTTTTTGAGTAAGTCAAGCTGTTTCACAAACCTTTGAAAACACTTAAATCAGTTGTTTTTGATGAAATGCAATAACTGCTGGGGACAAAGTTAAACTATTATAACCCCAAAACCACAGTGACCTTGAACAACCAATCGGAATTCAGATGCAAAAAAGTCTCATAATCGTTGAAAAATACACTAAAAAGATATTGCAGACTTGATATTTAACTGCATACTTGTAGCTTATGTGTTGTAAGAATGTCTCTCAGTCAATACACAGATGGCCGGTCTATAGATAAATCGTACCATGTACAATATACCCATTCATCCAGGTGACTGTAAGTCATGGTACTTTGAGTTCCATTGACATTTCTGACACTTTTCTTCAAGTTACTCCTAATTCTAACCATAATCCTTACTTCTGAACCGAAATTTAACCCTAATCCTAACCTTAACCCTTGACCTTGAACCTTAATCTTAATAGCCATAACCCTACCTAACAGCAAAGATTTGCAGAAAAAATATCAAGTAAATAAGTAGAATACTGTACCTATCCTCTCCAAGTCCAAAAATGCAGGCATGCCTTAATTTGGGATGATATTTCATAGCATTCCCTGTGTGTAGTCGGTTCTTGAAGGTCAACTTTTGGAAGACCTTGACTTTAGCTGCTGTGTACACGGTCATCGATGATATTTTACCGTTTTTAACAATTTTATGTCAACAAAAATCTAAGTTTTTTGGTTAGTAGTCCATTTACATCAGTCAAAAAAGTAGCAAGAAGTAAAAATTACTGAGGATTGTTGTTCTCTAAGTTTCTAGATAATTGAAAACATTTCTTTCCCGTAGTAGATTTTTAACAGGCAACAACTGTGAAAAACAGCAGTGTATGTAATGAATTCGTAAGTTTCGCTA